GATAGTGTTTCCTGTGGTTCCCATCAGGGACTTTCTGGCAGGGGAACATGGACAAGCAGACCAAGGACTTGCTTTTAATTCCTTTTAGCCTCACTTTTATTGATTCCCCACAAATACCTCCTCCTTCCCACTTGTTAAAGTCTGCTATGGATCCCATTATCTAGAGCCTGCTGTCCCTGGCCACTGCAGGTGTGTTGCTGCTTGACCCTCCCCCTCTCCGTTGGAACCTTCCTGTCCTGCTGCTCAGTCTTTCAGGGTCACATCCTTCCTGCCTACCAAGGTGAAAACTATATTAAAACAATAGCCAGAGGAGATACACGGGGTTTTCTCTCCCACCCCAGGTTACAGCATCTTAACACTGACTTCCTGAAGTCTCTATCCCTTTTTTATGAAAACCAGAAGAATGATTTTCCTAAAATCAGAGGATAAAAAAGACAAACAACAACAAAAAGATAAAATCAGAGGATAACCCCTAAAAGACCCCCTAATACAACATGCTCATTTTCCATGGGAAGAAAACACAGCCCAAAGAGTTTAAGTGGCTTTCTTATAAAATATTACAGCAAGTTTGGAACAAAACCATAAAGTTTACGCACATGTAAAGCACTGTATTTCTTTATCTGATCAGAGAATGAGGATTTGGAAGGGACCTTTGGAGTCCTTACTAGGACGAACACAATTGCAGTCATTTCTACTGTAAAATGTTATCAAATACATAGTTGCAGATCTACCTTTGTTAAGTATTCCTGCTTAGAAATGCAGTCCTGAGTTTAACAGCTTCCTTCCAGGTTAAACTTGCTAAAAACTGTAGCAAGATCTTACCTGCCATCATAGGTGAAGATCTTGCTACTGTTTTTAAGTACTTCTTGAACTGAATATTTATAGTGGTAGTTTGCTACTGTGGGAAATCCTACCCATTGCCAAAAGTTCTCATGAGAAATTTGTGCTAAAAGCTGTCACAGATTACAGCAAGCTCAGCAGAATATTGACAAGTAATGCTTGATAGACCACAATGTGGAAAGCTGTATCACAAAGGGCCACAGATCTTTTGTTAGAGTAGGGTATCACTGTCATCTCAGGCTTCAGATCACATTGAAATCAACAGAGTGGAAGCTGTGCCCAACCCATGAGTTTTGTGACATGAGCTTGCCAAATGTAAACCCTAGTCTCCTCAGTGGTTCCATCGACAATGAGCAACCTGGCATGACTGGAGTAGATCACTAATAAAAAACTTCCAGAGCTGCATTTTCCAAAGTCTGATCCCAGGACATTAGTTCTAAAAGTTATTAATATGCATTCTTTTTGTTTGTTTGTTTGCTTGAGACAGAGTCTCGCTCTGTCACCCAGTCTGAAGTGCAGTGGTGCAATCTGGGCTCACTGCAACCTCTACCTCCCTGATTCAAGCGATTCTCCTGCCTCAGCCTCCTGAGTAGCTGGGACTACAGATGCATGCTAACACACCTGGCTAATTTTTGTATTTTTAGTAGAGATGGGGTTTCACCATGTTGGCCAGGATGGTCTCAAACTCCTGACCTCAGATGATCTACCCACCTCAGCCTCCCAAAGTGCTGAGATTACAGGCATGAGCCTCTGCACCTGGCCAATATCCATTCCTTTTTTTTTTTTTAAAGATATTGTATTCCAAATAAATTTGTGAACCATTGCATCAAATGCAGCCCACAAATATACATACTGACTCTCTAAGAAATGGCTGTAATATATTAATATATAGTACTTCTCAAAATTATTTAAGAATGTCTTTTTCAAAGGAACTCCTATTAACCTCTTGAGGGGTACAATCAAGAGGAGGGCCCTAGAGTTCCATGGGAACAATAGAATTCTATTGTTGGAGCAATATTGTTCTACCGTCATTGAATTTTACAATTTCAGAAATAGAAGTAATCTATCATTTTCAGTTTCCCAAATGTATGCTATTTGGAATCTAAAATCATCAAACTGGTTATATTTGAACAATAAATTGCAGCAGGATATCACAAAGCAAATTAAATGGGTAACCACTGGATTGCTTCATTGTTTTTACATATACCATTAAAATACCAACTGTTATACTTCTAAGAATGTTTAATTTATTGGTGAGAAAATGTTTCTGTTATACAAAGCCTAGAAAATGCAGTATAATGCTTTATAGTGATTAGTATAAAATAAGTAAGAAGTATATCAAATTCTCCATTCCTTCTTCAAATATCTGATGAGCATATTCCGTATGTTCATCAGATATTTGTGATGCATTCACAAGCTAAAGTTGGGAGTGGGGAGTTAAGTGCTTAATAATTCTAGCTATCATTTCACAGTGGAAAACATGCTAGTTATATATTATATCTCAAATCCTCAGAACACCTCAGGGAAGGAGATGGTATTCTCATGTTATAAGTGAGGAAGTTGGGCTTCAGAATATGAAGTAATTTTCCCTAGGTCATGCTTACTAAGTGGTGTAATTTGAATGTAAGTCACCAATTCCAAAGCTATGTTCTTTCTGCTACCCATAATACAGATTCTTTTTTGCGACTCAAAATTTCAATTTAAAATTAAACAAAGTATAATTAAAGTATAATAGTAGTTGAACAGTGGGACACATTTCCATTTGGTTAAGATAATAACCCTGGTGTTTGTGCTGCTCTTGTTTTTTCTCATTTTTTTCTCTTTCATTATGTCAGTTGTCAGCACCAGGTGGAAAAATTTGGATTCTACTTCTCTAGCTCTGACCCCTCTTCTCTAGCTCTGACCCCTCTTCACTAGCTCTGACCCCGCTTCACTAGCTCTGACCCCGCTTCACTAGCTCTGACCCCGCTTCTAAGCTGTAGTCCCTCATTTCTCCTTGGATGCCTTACTGTCACCTCAAATGTGAGGTGACACATTTAAGGTGACAGTAAGGCATCCAAGGAGAAATTAAATAATTTAATTTAAAATTAAACACATTATTTCCCCCTCCAACTTCTACCTTCTAAATTCATTCTTAGTCACTTAGCTTAAAGTCTGGAGCCATCTTTGAATCTTTTGTAAAACTAGTGGTTGGACTCAATGATACATAATATCCCTTCTAACTCTGAAATTCTAATGTTGTTATTCTTGTACCACATACTCAAGCAAAATGAATTTCTTTCTCTGCTTTAAGCCCGCTAAAACTATTTTCCAGAGTTTTTTCCATATCTAATGGCATATATCCTCCTCATCCATCCTTATGTGTCCTTCAAAGCCCACTTTAAATGTCATCTCTTTCTTTAAACCCTTCATGAGCCTCCCAACTGTACTTCACAGTAATTGTTCTCTCCTTCAGAATCCTGTAATAGTTTTGTTCCTTTTTTAGGGTACTTTGCAATACCCTATATACATGCATACAATATATATCTTGCATATTATTCTTTACCTATGCATATATACTGTATACATACACACCATATATATACATACATATGATAGACACACACTATATATATATATGATACATGTTTTGGGTACTACAAATAATATATACAACAAATATATATGATATATAACATATACTGTGTGTATATATAAGATTTTATAAAAATTAATATATAATAAATATAATATGTAACTAAGCTATATATTAGATGTATGTATGTGTATATAGGGTGATGTAGAAAATATATAATATATAACTAATGTATATAGTGTGTGTGTATTTAATCTATATAAAGTGAGTTAAGGGGGATGCTTGGCATGGGATGATTGGGTCTGAGCAGGGTGGGTAGGGTTTATAAGCTAGGCATGATCACAGGGTATGGGAGGGATGGTAAGGAAAGAAAGATGAGAGTGGGGCTTGAGATGGCTAATTTGGGGCTTTGAGAACCTTAGTGGGGTAAGGGCAGTATCTTCCAAAGGAAGAGATGGCACCTATGGGTGATTGCTCACATACAGCAGGGTTATTCAAAAAAGTAAGTATCTCAAGGATAATGGGAGCCAGGCTTCTCTCTGTAGGAGAAAGTAGTTATAAATGTGGAAGAGCAGAAACTAGAATGAACTGTATAATGCTGGATTGGAGGTTTTACTATGAACACATGATTTTTCAATATCTATTGTTAGACAAATATAGCTATAAATATGTAAGGATACATATAAAGATGTACTGTGTATGTGTATGAATGTATAAAAATATTTCCCAACTACATCCACTGAGACAGCCTGGGCTATGGATACCTTAATAGCAGTGAGCATACCTAGTCTGAATACCATTTTCCACTATAAGGAATCAGGGCTCTGCATAAATGGCTACATCCAAGGCTGGAGCAGGATAAGCCTGAAACATCTAATTGTGCTAGTAACTAGGGGAGTGCTGAAAGAATGATGGGGATGTATCAAAAGGGCACAGAATAGTAATCTGTTAATGTTGAATCTGGACAATGTGTATATGGTATTTAAAGCTCTTATAATTATTCTATATTTTAAAAATATTTTACAATAAAATGTTTACAAAATTTAAAGCCAGTACAGCAGCTCACACCTGTAATCCCAGCACTTTGGAGTCTGAGGCAGGTGGATAGTTTGGGCCCAGGAGTTCAAGACCAGCCTGGGCAGCATGTCAAAACCTTGTCTCTATAAAAACAAAGATACAAAAAAAATTAGTCAGGCACAGTAGTGCACCCATTGTCTCTGCTACTTGAGAGGCTGAGGTGGGAGAATCACCTGAGCCCAGGAGGTTGAGGCCACAGTGAACCATGATCAGACCACTGCACTCCAGCCTGGGTGACAGAGTGAGACCTTGTCTTCTTTTATATATATATATATGCTGCCAAAGCAGCACGAGACCATATATATATATATATATACATATAATTGCACTTTAGGTTCTGGGGTACATGTGCAGACATGCAGGATTGTTGCATAAGTACATACATGGCAAGGTGGTTTGCTTCCTTCATCCCCATCACCTATATCTGGCATTCTCCCCATGTTATCCCTCCTCAACTCCCTACTCCCTGCTGTCCCTCCCCTAGTCCTCCCTAACAGACCCCAGTGTGAAAAATACAGAACGCTCCACAAATTTGCATGTCATCCTTGAGCAGGGGCCATGCTAATCTTTTCCGTATTGTTCCAATTTTAGTATATGTGCTGTTGAAGTGAGCACGAGACCTTGTCTTCTTGTCTCAAACACACACACACACACACACACACGCACACAAGCACACACAAAACACAGAAGCTAGAATGAATGTGAGACCATGTCTTCTTGTCTCAACAAAAAAATTTACACACACATCACAGAAACTAGAATGAATGAGACTCCTACCCACCAAACTTGGGATAATTCAGCATCAAAATAAATAATGATAGAGACAGAATATTGGCTGGGTGCAGTGGTGTGCATACCTGTAGTCCAAGCTACTTACTTGGGAGGCTGAGGCAGAAGGATTGCATGAGCCCAGAAGGTCAAGCCTGTAGTGTGCACCATGATTGCACTATCGACATATGAATAGCCACTTAGTCCAGCCTGGGCAACAAAGGAGGCCCTATCTTAAGAAAAACAAAAAAAAGAGAAAAGAGAGAAAGAAAGAGATTATAATTCATTTAACAAAATAAAAACCTGTGTATCCATACTAATATAAATACATTAATTGAAGATTTGATGAGAACAAGATATTTACAAATATCTTGAAAGGAGAGTTTGAGTCTCCCTCACAAAATACTTATTAATTTACAAAGGGGAAAAAGAAGTAACTACACTGGAGAAGCCTAGCAGGCACTACTTTATTAAACATCAGTAATGAGAGAAGTTAAAATTGTGCCACCTGATAGGGTGCAACAAGAAGAAAGCAGCAACATTTCTGGAGTCCTGTCATACCTAGCTGAATGTAATCATGAGTAAATATCAGACAGACCCAAAGTGAAGGCCATTCTACAAAAATAACTGGCCAGGAATCTTTTAAAGTGTCAATAATATGAAAGTCAAGGCAAGACTAAGAGTTCACGTTCCAGTTTGAAGAGTGGGAAAGATACATGGTAAGTAAATACAATGCTTGATTCTGAACAGAATCTTTTACCATAAAGAACATTATTGGGACAATTGGCAAAACGCTGAGTTACATAAATGTTTTGATTTTGGTGGTTATAATGTGATTATGTAAAAGGTGCTTAGGGACAATGTGGCTTGGGGTCAGCAATTTAAATCTCAATTCTGGGAAAAAAGGTCTTTGTATTATACTTGCAACCTTTTTGTAAGCTGGAGATTGATTCAAAATAAAACTTGAAAAATGACATTCAAAACGCTGAGTGTAGTGGGAAAACGCATATGACCCGAGCTAAGAAGCTGTTAGTCTCAGTTCTGCCACTGACTTCGTATGTGACCTTGAGCAAGTCACTTTACCTCAGTCCTCAGAATCAAGGCTCTCTAGGGTCCCTTCCACGTCTAACACTACAGCATCTACACCCACAGCACTGGCCCCGCCTGAATTTCTCCAGGTCCTTTAGATGTCCCGGAGCTGCACCCAAGGACTCTGACTTGCGATAAAAACAGACAAAAATAGCTGTGGCCGGAATCGCCGGACTGAAAAACCGCTGTCCTAATCCTAACTTGGGCCGCTGTCTCCATCGTTCTATCGACGGTGAAGCAGTTACGCCTGCCAGAGTGGGCGCTCGATGGCTCGGCGGCCAGCTGGTGGGACGTAGGACAAGCGGCGTGGCGCAGGGCGCGCTCCCAATCGCTGGCTCCCACCGTGCTAGCTGCCGCGAGCTTTCCGGCCACGCCCCGCGAGCGCCCCTCCCACCTCACTGCCTCGCTGTCGCCGCCGCAGGCAAATGCGACTCTGCTGGGGTTCGCGGAGCAGCCGGTAGGGTGGCGGAACCCCGACGGGCGCTGAGCTGAGGAGGACCCCCTCCCTCCCCCAAAGGCAAGCAGTCGGGTGTCCGCGGAGCGGGGGCAGCTCCGGGCGCGAGGGGGCGGTATCTGGACTGCCTGTTGGCTGGGAGGGAGGACGTACCAGGGCCAGCAATGTGAGTTGAGCGCTCTGGGATCCCGAGGGTGGTCGCGGCAGCGATATAATCGCGAAAGAAGCCGGTGGGGGATATCGAGCGCCTAGGTATCCTGACCCGAAAGGCCGGACCCCGCCTACGAGGGGCTGACTGGGGCGCGGGTTCAGCGGATGGGCAGTGCGGTCCGTCCTTCTTCCTGGGCTCCGGGAGAGTCTGGCTTCACCTAAGCACAACAGGTAGGCGTGGACTCCAGCCAGCGGGAGCCCGGGACGCCCGGCGTGTGGGGAAGGTCAGGAGGTCGGAGCCCGCCTAGCCCGCGCGCCCCTCCCGGGACCCGCCCTGCGGGGTCCTCTGCGCCGCCAGTGGTCAGCGAGGAACGGGGTCCCGGCCTGGCCTTTGGGCGAGCTTCCTCAGAGGCCTGTTTGTTTTCTGCGGGAACCCTCAGGGAGTTCCCTCTCCAAGAAGGGAGTAGTGGAGAGTGTGGATATTTGCCTTCTAAGTGGAGAACTATTTTAGTTCTCTCCAGGAAAGAAAGCTTTTGCTGGGGTAGCATTTGCTTAGCGTGGGGAAACATTTTCTTTCACCCTACTCTCGGCCAACACGGCGTTATTTCGAGTGATTATAAAGTCTTTATAAACTTTATGAAGTGTTGTATAGCCCTTTGTTTATCACAATAATGGATACCTCTGGCAAGTTAGGATAGTTTTCTTGAATGTCAGGTCACATAATAGTAAAATGGCTTGAACCCCTATGTTAAAGGTCATAATTATCCATTGTTTTTTTGTGCATTCATTTATTGAACACATTTTCAGCACCTTTTTTGTGCTAGACACCCTTAAGGAATTTACAGCCTGAAAGAGATGTTAAAAGTTTAAGGAGAAATAAAGGGGCCCACAAGTACAGTTAAGAACTTAACAGCAAAAATACTAACTGAAATTACTTAAATTGTAGGGAAAGCAGAAGTGTAGTTAAGCATTAGATGTTAAGCATTAGATGGATGGGGAGAGGAGAATTTTATTTCATTTTCCAAACATTTTAGAAAGTATGTCTTTGAGAACGTGATTTTAGATAAAAGCATGGACGCGGAGGTTTATGTTACATTTTAATACCATTGACTTTTTTTTACTTAACTGGTAAACAGGCAGGATTTATAATATAAGAATAGTGACAGCTGGAGAATACTGGAGTATGAATTTGTTATGCCTTGGAATGCAGTTGTTTTACCTATATAAACTATAGAATAGGAAAAGACTCCTGAAAGTCAGGAAACATGAATTCCTGCTTAAGTTCCCTCCACTATTTATAGATGTTAGATTAGGTCACTTTTTCTCTCTCTCTTTTTTTTTTTAATCGTTGTATCTGACTTTAGTTACAGAAAATACATGACTCCAAGGTACCTTTTTAATTCTTAAATTATTAATTACAATTAACTACATTAATGAATATATTCTCTACAGAAAAAAATTACATTTTTTGTACTTGTTTGTAAGTAATGCACTTACCTTTCTTCCTGCTTTATTTCAAAAAGGTTGAGGCAGTTTAGAATAATCTTTCTTAACTATGAGTAGGCCTGTCGCGGTGGCTCACGCCTGTAATCCCAGCACTTTGGGAGGCCAAGGCAGGTGGATCACGAGGTCAAGAGATTGAGACCATCCTGGTCAACATGGTGAAACCCCATCTCTACTAAAAATACAAAAAATTAGCTGGGCATGGTGGCGCGTGCCTGTAATCCCAGCTACTCAGGAGGCTGACGCAAGAGAATTGCCTGAACCCAGGAGGCGGAGGTTGCGGTTAGCCGAGATCGTGCCATTGCACTCCAGCCTGGGTAACAAGAGTGAAACTCCATCTCAAAAAAAAACAAAACAAAACGATGAGTAACATAAGGGTTAAATTCTGGATTTTTTTTAAATTCTAAAATTATTTTTTTCTAAATCCTGGTTAGGCAATTTAACAACATTGCGTTTTTTTTTTTTTTTTTTTAAAGCTGTATTCGGTTGGATAAAAAAAAAAAAAGCTGTATTCAGTCTTACGTGGTTCATTAATTATCTCATAGTGTAATTGAAGAGTTTGAACAATCCTTTAATGAGACCACAGTCCTCATATAAATAACACTTCTGCTTTTTCAGGAGACATTGAGAAACTGTTATTAAATCTCATTTGAGAAATCAATTAACTGGGGCCAAAAAAATTAGTAAAGACTTGCCTATGTCACTTAATTAAATCCCTTATCTAGTTTTAGTGTTAAATTTTTGAATTAGAATAGTGCTTAGCAATCTATAGCCTATGTGTCAAATCTACATTGCTGGCAGCTTCATAAAAGTTTTGTTGAACACAACAATGCTCCTTTGTTTATGGTTGTTCAGTTATTGTTTTTGAGTAGTTGTGATAGAGGCTCCCAAAGCCTAAAGTATTTGTTGTCTGGTCCTTTACAGAAAAAAATAAGTGGACCCCTGAACTAGAACTCTCAATGCTTAAACACTAAATCTTTTGTAGGAGGAAATAGATTAAGTTCAGTTTTAATTCTTTTATTTTTATTTTTTTTTAGACAGGGTCTCACTCTGCCACCCAGGCTATAGTGCAGTGGCACGATCTTGGTTCACTTGCGGTCTCCACCTCCGGGTTCATGCGATTCTCCTGCCTCTGACTCCCAAGTAGCTGGAAATACAGGCATATACCATCATGCCCGACTAATTTTTGTATTTTTAATTAGGACAGAGCTTCACCATGTTGGCCAGGCTGGTCTCAAACCTCCTGACCTCAGGTGATCCCCCTGCCTTGGCCTCTGAAAGGCGCCCGGCCTCAGTTTTAATTCCTAATCTTGTTTTATCATTATAATGTCATGTAATTGTAGGATTCATAAATGCTTTTAGATCTGCAGTATGTAATGACAGAGGAGGGGAATGGTTTTGCTGCTCCCTTACCTAGTATAAAATTTTATAATTTCAGCAACTCTAGCCTTTTATAATCCATTTGCAAAGAGGAAGAGTTTTTATATGTTGCTCTAGCAACTCTCTAATTTTCAGTTTTCATTTAGATCTGGTATAGGAAATTTTTTTCATTTAGTAAACTTCTCTTTTTACTATGTTATTCATGGACTTTATCATAAGCAGCCGTGAGGTACCTTTACTCAAAACAGTTTTTTGTTTTTTTTTTTTTTTT